CTGCAAGGGTAGATTCTGTCGTAATGCAAAGGCAGTGTGCTCTGCTGGGATGTGCATCATGAGGTGTTGGCAAGACGAGTATGGGCGGAAAAAGCACATCTACCGTCTTCACCCGAATTGAACGCACGGTCATTCTCGCTGTATCTAGACTGAAAGTTGCCCCAAATGCTGCCGTAGTGACTGTGCGTTCTATTGAGGACGTTAGCAATGCAAGATGTGAGAAGTCGTAGAACGGAAGGATATGCGACCGAAGACGGGGGTTGAAGCTGGAGCACAAGGGGAGGAGGAGCTAGTTGTGTCCAGCTATATAAAGAATATGGGAAATTACGCTCACATGATCACATCGACGATAGCTCGATAAGCAGGAGGATTTCACAAAACCCTCCCAGAGGAAGGGTCTGCAGTTGCTTTACCGTAATAGGCTCTACTAGGGATATGCGCCGTCCGCAGCGTAGAGTACATAATTGACTGTACCTAATGGGTTACGACGGTAGAAGAACGTGGGTTTTGGAATAGAACGCGGGTCATTGGCATTCCTACGGACCAGATGATGAGATTAAAAAAAAAAAAAAAAAGAGTGGTTGTGGTTGTTGCATGGCATTAATCCTGATGGCAGGGACTTACCATCTTCCTGGGAATAGAACGTACGGTCATTATGTCTGTACTTAGACTGAAAGTTGCGCCAAATGCAGCTATGATGACCGTGCGTTCTACTCAGGGAAATTCGGTATGGGAAAACTTTTAATATACAGGCGGAGCTTTCCTTCCTGTCTGCTTTCCTTTTTCTGTTTTGTGTTTTTCCGACTTTTTCGCCTTTGCGCTCCGATACACGGTGTGAGGATATATGTATATTAGATCTAATCTTAGATCTAATTTTAGATATAATGATTATAATCTATATTTTTAAGGGCAAGGGTCTTGAGATATCATAATTGAACTGACCTCTTAGATATAATCTATATCATAGTTGAACTGACTGAAAAAAAAAAAAAAAAAAAAAGAACTGACCGGCCCCAGGCAAGTCAGAATGCTTTCGTTCTGTTGATCTGATAGTGTCTGCTGGATTCCTGTCTCTTATACACATCTAGATGTGTATAAGAGACAGACCTTATTCTGTTGATCTGGTTGCATCGGGATTTGAACTTACGTCTGTATGTCGACAGTTCATAGGTGTACCAACTGAGCTAGGCCAGTTGGTAANATATAATCTATATCATAGTTGAACTGACTGAAAAAAAAAAAAAAAAAAAGAACTGACCGGCCTCCCGGTAATTCGGAACTACCTTATTCTGTTGATCTGGTTGCATCGGGATTTGAACTTACGTCTGTATGTCGACAGTTCATAGGTGTACCAACTGAGCTAGGCCAGTTGGTAAAAATCTCGAATATGCTAGTAGCGTTCTGGTAAAGCAAAGGAAATGATATAAGCAAAATAATAATTTTGAGGGTGCTTCACAAGCAGCAGGTAATTGAGGAATCCACTTGGCATCCTCTCGAATACTTTCATTGCCTTCACGAACTAAATCTCTTCCCGCATTGCGTGCTTGTACACAAGTTTCCAAAGCTACTCAGTTAGCTACAGCTCCTGGACCATTTTTTGCCAAATCTTTTGCACGCAAGGAGGGAAGGCTCGCCATATCGTAATGCTGAATCGTCCAAATTGTAATTCTCTTATTAAAAAAAAAAAAAAAACTTGTAATTCTCTCTAGAGAGATGGCTCGCCAGAGGCGCCGGTGTTCCTGAGCTTGGTCAGCTCTATTCTCGCTGTCGCCTTGCCTTCTCTTCTGTTTCATGCTTGTCGGTGATAAGCAAGCGGACTGTTGCCCCCCAGAATAGATGGTGCTGTGAGTGTGTTGCGTTGTAGGAAAAAAGAAAAGAAAAAAAAAAAGAAAAGAAAAGAAAGAAATGTTAACTTACTTGAGCTGATGTAATCTAGCATCACTACTCGTCTTTGCTTGAACGTCGGGACGGGTGAAAAACAGAAAGGGACGGAACTCAAAGAGTGTTTCGGAGTCAGTACCACAAATTGGGCCTCACTGCACTACTCTTTAAATGTGCAAAATGAGACCGTATCCATGCTGGAACATGGGAAAATACATTGCCATCTTTTTTGTCTTTTGTGCATGTGGAGAGTAGTGCAGCGAGGCCCATGAGACCTGGGATTGCCTGCGTTCTAACTCTGGACGCCTTGCAGATGGAATATTTATTGGTAACTTAATACAAAGAAACAATATCCATTTGGTACAGGATAAAACAGATAAACAATACCCATTTGGTACAAGATAAAACAGTTAAAGAATATCCATTTGGTACAGGATAAAATACATGTTTGCTTGGAACAGGAATTCCTTAAACCACCAGTGCATCTTGAGAATCGCGAAAGAGCCTCTCCTCTCTGAAAAGTTTGTGGACTCGGGACTGGGTCCGCCTGGGGGCGGGTGGAAATTGTTTTTTGTTCAGTGCCGATCATGGTCCCACCTCGAGGCATGGGGCAATGTTTTTTCCCCACCCGCCGTTCCAAGGCCCTGTCTTGAGCCTATGAAATTTTAGGAGAGGCTCCATCGCAATTGTCAACTTGGCTGAGGCCATGTACTGGTGGTTACAAAAAAAAAAAAAAGGAAACCCACGAAGTCCATTGAGAACTTCTTATTTCAAGGTCGCAGTGCTCCTGGGTCCGGCTGAACTCTTGACAACTATGATGCATGCTGTCAACGCTATGTTTTGTTCTGTTCTTCCGTGTATGTCCTCCCTGACACGGGTAAGACCCACCTATATCTGGAGCCTTTATGGATATCTTATTTAGATACCTTGGTTGGATCTTGAACCTACCTCTTATGTATTTAGGCCAGGACTGATTTGTGAAGATGCCATGGAAGCTCTGGTGAGCCTTGCCATTAGAGCCAGCTATGTGCTTGACATCTTTGTTTGGATGTCTTGTTTGGATCTTGTTTGGATCTTGTTTGCGTCTTGTTTGCGTCCATGTGCTCAGCACATAGAGATGCACAGGGCAGGCTAGCATCCCCGAATGCCTATGCACCCCTTGTTTGGTTGTTGTGCATGTTTCGGCATATTGAAGGGTAAGGGTGAGTGGTATAATGGTAAGGGTAACAGCGGAGTTATTCTACGTTGTTTGTTTGCTTGTAGGCATTGTGGGTGTTTAACGCAACTTGGGGAACAGGCACGTCCTACTTCGGTGTGATAGAGAAGACACCAGAAAAGAGGAAATGCAGAAAACAACGTGCAAGAAAGTGAACTGATTGTGAGTTGTTGGTCTGTGTGATGTCTGTTTGTGCCTGCAGTCAGCCAAACATGGAAGAAACCCTCTGTGAAGGGATCAGCCCCAACTCCTAGGGACAGCCATACATGCACCACCGTTGGAAATAAACTGTTCGTATTTGGTGGAACGGATGGGAACAACCCGCTGAGAGATCTACATGTGCTCGATACTGGTAAGCGGCAACTGCCTAAGTCGTTTTTGTGTATGCCTCATGGTCAGAGAGGAAGACATGTCACTTCTGATGCCATCTCACCAGCAGCATGCGAAGGTCTACCTCCTAAAGTAGATATCAATGATGGCGGATTGGGCAGAACAACATCAATCACTTTGCTCAATTGATTTTCCAAGCACAAGAATAGAAATTGTGTGCACTTGATCTTATTGATGCAGAGTGCTCTCACCTTGCAAAGTTGACTGGAAAAGAACATGTGCACGTCCACTCACAACACACACACACACACACACACAGACACACAGACACACACACAGACACACACACACACACACACACACACACACACACACACACACACACACACACACAACACGGCCTTGCTGAGCTCTCCATTCAGGTGGATCGATGCGGCTAGGGTTGGGACTGTAGTAGCGGTCATGCCATTGGGTGTCCATGGCTGAGTGGGTGTGTAGAGTGGGTTTTATGACCGTGTTAGACTAGTTTCTCAGACTTACTGCTGTTCTTGTCAGTGGTTTAAACCGGCAGTCTGCTAGGATTGCAAGGTTGGTGTGAGTAAAGTCGATCATTTTTCTCAGGGTATGGCTAACTCTGGGCGATCTGGTGAGTCCTTATCCATCAGTCAAATGCATCCTGGGCAGACTGTCTGGGTTCAACATGATGATGAGTCAGTGAATGTCCGATCAAACAGTCTGGGACGGGCATGCTTATTTTGAGTGTATAGCGAGTATGACAACACAGACACACACACATATATAATCAGTGAGGGGATTCTACAGACTGTTGAGGGTTCAGCCTCCTGATGAGTCGGTGAAACTCCGACGAAACAGTTTGTCACAGCCCCTCGTTTGTTGTCCTCTTCTCC